GTCTCCCTGACATGGCTGCTTCAACACTAACTGCGGTTACTGAAACCACGCCTTCTTTCTTTGAGTGCACATTTGGGCAGCATTATGCAAATATTCCAACATAGTGACCTAGATATGTGGGGGCGTGTTAGAACGAGCCGTTTTAGGGGGGCGTGGCAGAGTCTTAACTTTGATAAAGAATATCCCTTTGGTTTTGAGACTTTAGTCTTTGCAACTTCAGGGATCTTATCTATTCACGAACAGCTTGTAACACTCCAAAGAGAAAGGAAAACTTGAAATCGCATCATATGACCCCTTTAAAGTAATGTTCAAATAGTAATGCAAACACACATACAACAACATGTACACCAGACATTTTGAGTTTGTAGCATTTACACACAGATACACAGGCGTCCAGTCTCTCAGCTCTCAGACTGGTATCACAGTGAAAAGGGAAAGGACTGTGGTTAGTCTGTGGATGCCAGGACAGACCACAGCTATGCTAGGTGTGCTTGCAGGAATGTGTGCACTCTGCAGATCCGACTGTGTGTTTGACTTGACTTACTGGCTCAGATTACACATCTAAAGAAATCTCAGCTTCCTGTTTAATGTCCCCCCCTCTGTGTGCGTGGCGTGTGTGTATGTTTATATATGTTTGTGTAGGATTCTGATGTTTGGGCGGCCTGTGCAGTTTGAGGAAGTCCAGCAGAAAGTCAAAACATTCTTCGGTCAGCAGTTAGACCTGCATTATATGAATAATGAGGTATTGATTCACATTCAAATGCACTCACTGACACTCACTTATGTCTGATCGCTGCAGTCTTACCAGAAATACTCAAGACTTTAATATCCACTATTTTAGTACTATTTGTGACCCTGGACCACAAAACCAGTCTTAAGTCGCTGGGGTATATTGTAGCAATAGCCAAAAATACATTGTTTGGGTCAAAATTATCGATTTTTCTTTTATGCCAAAAATCATTAGGATATGAAGTAAATATCATGTTCCATGAAGATATTTTGTAAATTTCCTACTGTAAATATATGAAAACTTAATTTTTGATTAGTAATATGCATTGCTAAGAACTTAATTTGGACAACTTTAAAGGCGATTTTCTCAATATTTAGATTTTTTTTGCACCCTCAGATTCCAGATTTTCAAATAGTTGTATCTCGGCCAAATATTGTCCTATCCTAACAAACAATACATCGATGGAAAGCTTATTTATTCAGCTTTCAGATGATGTATAATAAATTGACCCTTATGACTGGTTTTGTAGTCAAGGGTCACATTTTGCTGAACTCCTCACTTTATAAACTTCAAAGTGCACTCAAAGGTTAACAATGATGCATAAATTATAAGCTTAATTTAAAAATTTTTGGTAGCATTTTATTTTAGAGTCCTGTTCCACATATACATACAATGTACTTGTTATAGTATTTACAATAACTGTGTAATAACTAGGTACTAACCCTGAACCTACCCCTAAACCTAACCGTAACCTATGTAGTTGCCTTATATTGCCCATGACTTTCTTAGGTAAGTACAGTGTAAGTACAGGTAAGTGCACATACTGTAAAATAAAGTGCAACCCATTTTTAAATAGTAAAATATGTAATAATTACAAAAAATAAATTAGCAACCTTTAAGTAATAATACTGATGTAAGGTTCACAAACTTTAAGTACACGAAACTTACTTCACTTTAAGATGGAAAATAATAAGCTGTATTTATCTTTTAATTTTGCATAATTTTTGTAATAAATTATATTTTAGTAAATAAAATAAAATTTGCAAATAATTATAACAATATAAATTAGCAATCATTTAGTAATAATACTGATGTACACAAAACTTACTTCACTTTAAGATGGACATCACTGAATGCAGTTCAGTAAGGGGCCGTTCACACAGAATCTGTCTTTGCGTCTAAAAACGTGAGAGACGCAGCGCTCAGGAATGGTTTTTAAAAAAACAGTGCAAAACGCATCGGTCTTGAGACTTGATATCACCATATATATTCAGTGACAGAGACATTTCTCTCTAGGCTCTTTTTTAAGAAACAGTTTGTGTTAATCACTTGAAAAAATATTATATAATTCAGGGTATCCGGACACAGCAACTATGAGTGCCTCCTCCGCCATGTTGCCGTCAAATAAAACAGTTGCCATGTCAACTTGCTACTGTAAACAAAAGCTGGCAACGCTTGCCCCGCCTCTGCTGTCTTCTGATTGGTTCACTGTTTTGGAACTGACACACAAGATGTGAGCGCAACGGTCATGCATGTCCGTCTAGTGCTTTTACACAGAAAAACAGTGGAAAAGATAAACGTGTTTTGTGTGATCAGCCCCTAAGTGCGTCAGTTGTTGATTCAGTAACTCATTTAGTGTTATTCATTGAAGGATTCATCAGACTCATTCAAACCAGTAACTCCTGAGTTTATAAGCCTTGAATGATTCATTAAAAGAACCTGCATATACAAGTCTGTTGGTGTGAATCAGACTACACTGCAATGGTTGAGCAATAAACACAGATGATAACACAGATCACTTGTTGTATTCCTCATTTGTAAGTTGCTTTGGATAAAAGGATCTACTAATTTAATAAATGTGAATGTATAACAAGTTAATACGATTTTTTACAAAGTGCCAGAAGACCGATTTATTTCTTTGTGTAATTAAGGGATAAAAATACTGAGTGACAGCTCTACTTAATGTGTTTGTTAAGTGTGTTTGTGTTTGTGTTTGTGTTTGTGCACACAGCTGTCCATCCCCCTGCGCAATCAGGACGACTTGGATAAAGCCATTGATCTGTTGGACCGCAGCTCAAACATGAAGAGCATCAAGATCATGCTGCTGACACAGGAACAAAGCAATGTGAGACTTACAAATTAATATTTTATGTCAACGCGAACCAGTTAAATTTGGAAAGTAGACTAAGAATCTCTTTTTTTAATATGGAGTGCAAATTCTAATAACTCTGCTCACTAGAATCAGGTTTAAATGCTAACACTGTTGTGTGTCAGTTAGTACACTGGAGCAGAGATGTATTGAGTCATTATAATGTGATGTTTCTACACATAAAATGATTTCTAGATGCTTATGTGTGTATGTGTGTGTGTGTGTGTGTGTGTATGTGTTTGTGTATGCAGGCCTCTTCTCCATCTCATCACACAATGTGTAAGCAGGTCCGCGTCAAAACCTCTCAGTCCACCGGTGATGTCAGTACTGCCTACCAATCCTCTGAATCAAGAGGACGCCACCACTCCACCAGTGAGTTCACACACACACACACACTCACAAACACACACACACGCACACGCATGCACATGCACACACTGCTGCGCTTAATCAAAAACCCCTCTGCATTTCTTATCAATCTTCTTGTCCTGGTCTTTTTCTCTCTCATACTCTTTCATTTTCTCTCTCTCCCTCTGTTGTTTCTCTGACTTCCTCTGTGAGCAGTGGGTCCTCTTCCTTTTCCTGTCCACCATCACTGGCTGCTCTACAATGGCTTGCTGGCTCCCAGCCAATCAGATTGCGAGACACTATTAGCATGGTGGGCCAATAGCCTGTTGTAGAGATAGTGTGTATATTAGGGGGGAGGGGAGGTCGCTACAGCTTGAAAGGGCATCTGGAGAAAAGCGTGAGCTCTTTGAGCTCTGTGACTGGAGGAAAAAGATGTTATATTTATGTTATTACGTTATATATATGTTTATATTTTGCTTCAGTCTCATGATTCAGCTGTTCTGCTTTTAGATTATGCTCTTGTCACAGTGTAACACACTGCATGGGACTCTTTATTAATTTGTATTGCGAATGCAGTGTTTTTCTTTGAGCTCAACATAATCTATATAAATGCAGATGGAATCGGGAAATCCAGTCATAAAAATGTGTATTAAAAAAATCATAAATCCAGAAACCCTATTATTGTAAAAATTTTAATAAATTATTAAATTGTTAAAGTGCTTTTAATTAAATTGATTAGGCATGCTTTTTGATTATTAAATTTAAATTAAATATAAAAAAAAAAATATATATATATATATATATATATATGGAATTTAGGGACAAAATAAAACAGATTTCATTGGGCCATAAAAATGTAAATTGTGTGTAACTTTTAATAAATTATTATATTGTAAGTTATTTCATTATTTTAATTAATTAGTTTTTTGATTAGTAATTTTAATCATTAAAATGTAATCCAGAAAAATTAAAATGGAATAAACATAAGGTGGGAAAAGATGAAAGAATTTGGGAAAAAATATGATGTAAATCGTACAGAAAGGCCATACCTGAAATAGTTATTCAGATGCTTTATTTGACAGCAGCATTATTAATGACTATTAGCAGTGTAATTGATTAAATATGTACAAATTTGTACCTGTACTGGTTTGTAGAGTCCTGATTTGTACTGGTTTATTGCACACTAACACTGCTTTTGAAAACATAGATATTATTGTATATAAATTGTAAGGTGTCCATTTTACTGTACTGACTGAAATACAAATGGACAAAATGGTGAAGTAAACATGATGTGAATACAAATTTTTGCATGCGTACACTCTCAATCTCACACCAAAGTGATGTAAATAACAGTCTGACAGAGATACATGTTTGCCACCATAACAGTATTACCAGACAAAAATATCTTCTTGCAAATGTCAGATTATTAGTTGAAACATTTATGTCTATTGTCTTGTCCTTCCATAGGCTCTCAGAACACTGGGCGAAGTTCTCCACCCCCCGGTTACGTTCCTGAGCGCCAACAGCGAATTGCACGTCAGGGATCGTACACCAGCATCAATAGCGAGGGGGAGTTCATACCTGAAACCAACGACCAGTGTGTGAGTTTAGTCACGTGCTTAAATATGTCAGTGGGTGCTCTAAAACTATTACAGATTTTTTGATGTATTCATTGTGTTGTAAATCAGAATTATTTTGATATATCAGTTTATATTTATATACAATACCGTTCAAATGTTTGGAGTCTGAGATTTTTTTGTTTTTTAAAAAGAGAAGCCTGAAAGGCTGAATTTATTTGATCAAAAATTAGGGCTGCACAATTAATCGAATGCGATTGTCATGCGTATCTTGTCAGTAAAGCCGGTTCTGTGATTAGTGCAGTCGAGTGTTTGAAATAAATCCTTCTGTGAGATGATGTGGCTTCTTAGACAGAATAAGGCACGTAAACATATTTCATAGTATTCTAAGCATCGATAAAGGCTATGTCGATTAGCATTGCATTATTATATACTTTATTATAATATAAATTATAATAAGATGAACTCAGATAAACCATATATTGTCGTAGTCGTGTGTTTATTAGTCAAATTGAATTAATGAAAGCCGTTAAATCTTCTTGTTTATTCAGCAACCTCTATAGGGATTTCCTGGGTTTCTTCTGCAGGATGTATTTGGAGTTTCCGCGTGAGAGCGCCCTCTGGTCTTCAGATGGAGATTTACAACAGATCACAGAACCGTGCTTTACTGACCAGATGCGCATGACAATCGCAGCTTTTGCCTAATCGCGATTGCGATTTAATTTCGATTAATCGTGCAGCCTATCAAAAATACAATAAAACAGTAATATTTTGAAATATTATAATAATTGAAAATAACTGTTTTATTTTTCATTCAATATATTTGTAAATGTAATTTATTCCTGTGCTGGCAATACTGAATTTTCTGCATCCATTACTCCAGTCATTAATGTCACATGATCCTTCAAAAATCATTCTAATATTAATGTTGAAAACCGTTGTGCTGCGCAACATTTTTTTGTGGAAACAGACATTTTTTTCTGCATTCTTTGAATGAATATAAAGTTCAAAATAACAGCATTTGTTTGATATATAACTTTTCTGGGTAACATTATAAATGTCTTTACTGTCACTTTTGTTCAATTTAATGCATCCATGCTGAATAAAAGTATTAATTTCTTTAAAAATATCTTTCTGACCCCAAACTTTTGAACAGTAGTGTACTTATATTTGAAAATATCTATTCTATTCTAATTCTATGCATTATACATGTGAAATGCTGTGTCAGCGCTTATAAGTGCTAGATATTACGCTCCAAAGCAGAAATTAATTATCAAAATAATGGCAATTTGTAATTTGGCAACATGCTAACTTTTGCAGTTACTGTATTTCCTTCAATTCATATATACATTGCTAACTTGCATATTCTTGCAGCCAGCGTGGAAAAAGAGCCACATGTGCAGCATAGACTTCAAGTACAGAATAGGTGTCAGGGGTATCTCAGAACTGTGAGATGTTCCCATAGAAACGCCATATGATCAATGAGAGAATTCAAGTATATGCCACATTATATACCACTGTTAAAATGAAATACAGTCACCTAATCACCTGCTGTGCCAACTGAGTCCATTTAACTTATAATTCACCTGTATTTAAAGGTGCTGGATCCTTGGAGCAGTGCAGAAAACTCTGTGTCCGGCAGCTGTCAGTCACTTGACATCAACTCTGACAGGTGAGGAGACAAATGTAATATGAAATGTATTTGAATGATACTGTAATTGTAAGCACCTGTCACTGTGTTATTTTGCGTTTATTGGTGTCTCTTGTTTCATAGTCCCTCGCTCAGGAAACCTCGTACACACAGGGTTAAGAGTTACCCTGACAACCGACAGGACTGTGCAGGTGCACCTCAATAAAGATACTTCTGCAAACATTGATAAAGTTTTAAAATCTGCTTTTCCATTGACCCGAATATCCATCCCCTCTCTGCGTTCTCCTCTTTTAGACCGGGAAAACCATATATATGATAAGATTGTAGGGAAGGGAGGGACATACCCTCGCAGGTATCATGTGTCGCTGCATCATAAAGACCACAGTGAAGGTACGAAACACTCAAACTTAGTATACTCACACATACACACTCCAGTTCGTCCCGTGTCAGAATTTATAGAAATAATGCTGCTCCTCAGGTCGACGGACATTTCCACGGATCCGTCGTCCCCAGGGAAACTTGTTCACGTTGGTGCCCTCACGGCGTTCACTGAACGGCAGTGAGGAGAGTTTGGGGAGCTGGCAGCTGGTTGATACTCAAGCCAGACTCCGCCCACAGGACCGCCCAGTCCCACATAAGTGTGAGTGTGATATTGATCATGATGTTGTAGATTATGGTTGTGTTTATAAAAATTTTTGCTTTGATGTATTTAAAATGTTTGTATTTGTGTGAAATTGTCAAGCCATTTGTTTCATTCAGCCAATCATTGCAGTATCTTGATGTATGATATGTTCATGTATGTAGCCCCTACAGCTCCAGTGACGTGGCGAAGGGGGAAGTTGCTAGGCCAGGGTGCGTTTGGAAGCGTTTATTTGTGCTATGATGTGGACACAGGCAGGGAACTTGCAGCAAAACAGGTTCATTTTGACCCTTCCAGTCCAGAGACCAGCAAGGTACTACACTTTTTTTTTTTTTTTTTTTTCTATTTTTTGTATTGCATTTTTTTTTTATTCTTTCTATTATAAATGATATTGTTTGCAGTCTTACATTTGCATGGTTTGGTTTGGCTTTCATGCATTCAAATGCTGCTTGAGTGAAAATATCCCTTTCCTTTCCTTTAAAGTCTGCATGCAATTAAACTTTAACCTATTTTCTAAATGCATGTTATAGATCTTATTGTGAATGATTCAGCCATGTATTTTCTTTTTTTTTTTTTTTTTTATGTTTCACATTTTTTCTTGCAATTCTTTCTTCCATCTGAAAGTTTTCCCCCCACTCTTTAAATCCTTTCCTGTCTGCCATTGCAAAAATATGCACTGTCACTTCCTGTATCTGTGTGTGATTGTGTGGGTCGGCCAGAGGGGGGTTTTGAGGCGAGGGGAAGTGGGGTAGTCTAACAACGCATTTCTCATTGATCATGCCCTCACTTGACACGAACACACACGTATGCTTACACACTCAAAAGCAAAAGGCCTCTTAACCACACAGAGGATTGTTTGGCATTAGTGTGTTGTGGTTTTATGTTTTCAGTTGATGAGTCTTCTCACTCATACCCCCCTCTGGTCACAGCCAGCTGGCTCAGCTGTGGTCGTGTCATGACTCTTGCCCCCCTTTCTGCAGGAGGTGAGTGCTTTAGAGTGTGAGATACAGCTGTTGAAGAACCTGCATCATGAACGAATCGTTCAGTACTACGGTTGCCTTAGAGACCATAATGAGAAGACCCTCACCATTTTCATGGAGTATATGCCCGGAGTGAGTTTGGCACAGCACTGGCTCATCAAGTGTTGGGAAAGCAACAAGTCTTGTTAAAGGACTAGTTCACCAAAAAATTTTATTCTGTCAAGACTGAATAATCCTCATGTTGTTTCAAACCTGTATACTGTTAATTTTTCTAAGAAATGCACAAAAAGAAACTCACAATGAATTTTTTTTTTTCATAACATTTTTTTCATAGTGACCACTGGCTATCAAGACTTTTTTGTCAAATAGAACAAAAGCCAACCATAACATACAAAAGTTGTCCACGTGACTTGTACACTATATTTTGAATATATACACTACTGTTCAATAGTTTGAGGTCTGTAAGTTTTTTTTTTTTTCATGTTTTTGAAAAAAGTCTCGAATGCTTACCCAGGCTGCATTTATTTAATTTATTTTAAAGTATTTTAAATTTGAATTTATTCCTACTTACTTTTTTTTTGTGGAAACTGTGGAATACATTATTTCTTTGATGAATAATAAAAATATTTTGTAACATTATAAACAACTTTACTGTTACTTTTGATCAATTTGCTGCATTCATGCTGAATAAAAGCTTTAATTTCTTGATTACAATCTTACCAATCCCAAACTTAAATGGTAGTGTATATTTGTATATATATATATATATATA